GTCCAATTTTCTATTAACTGATGTAAAAAACGCTCGCTTTAAAATATTTTTTGAAAATACATTGCTTCAGAAATTCTCACGAAACGGCATCGATTTCTGTCTAGAAACTTTGTAGTTACTTGCCAAAGATTATTAATCAATTATTAATAATCAGAGACAGGAATGAGTGACCACTGAAACACGTGACTCACGCAAGTCCACATTCATTGCGATCTCTCCCATTTCCAACTCATGACTTCAAATCGAATTAATGCTTTCTCAAACATTAATATAATCCTAATTCTCAACAATAATATAAGTATAGGACAATCCGTTAAAGCCTAATCAGTACATACAATGACTAGTATTTTTCTAAGACTTTGACAATTGAGCAACAATTAGATGCGACAGAAAATTCTCGTCGTTATTGAACTAAATTTTCTTATCAAAAACAGTAGCAAACGATAAAATTTGTATATATAGCAGGGGGAAGGAATATATTTCATCAGTAACAAGCTTTTTGAGAGACGATGTCACACATTATGAATATTGTTTGCCTTAAACAAGATATTTATAGTTAGATTTTTTCAATGCCCAGTTCCAAGAAAACTTGATAATAATAATCCAAGAGAATATTCCGCTCGAAAAACATGGAAGGCATTGGGTATAAATAATTCAATTTAATAAATGGTGAAACTCGATCTGGCATCGTATGTCAACCGCATGAATATAGATATTTCCGGAATTTTAATTTTAATTTTCGGTTTTAAACATTTAAAGAGTTGTGTAATGGTAAAATAATTCAAATCCTTTTATTTCACTGCAATCAACAAAACTTAGAGTGAACGAATTCGATCAGAAAACGATCGTTGGACCACGTTTGAACGGAAGGCGCAAAAAATAGAGTCAAGGTGTTATTACCGATGGATTATTATGAACAATTATCAAAATACGAGAATGAGACAAAGAATTGTTAATTTTGTAGCCATTTTCTCTGGTTTAAAATTTTCTATTTTTGTGATTTGAATAATAAAATCACTAGAATCCATCAAATTTTTAACACGATAATAATATATTTTATCACATAATACGCTGCTCCAACGATCATTCTCTCTTGTGAAGTAAATATAGGCTAGTGTCGAAAATCTTTCCTGTTTTGAAACAGAGATATGGTGCATCTATTACATTAAATATCTTGTAAACTATAGTTAACTTCAAGATTAAATCTTAAACAATTTATGCGAAGATATAAAAATTTCTTTTTAGATTCGAAATTATAATAAGTAAGCCTGAAAAAGATATGCTTAGTTGAACTATTTAGTCTATTTAGATATGCTTAGTTGAACTTCAATGCAAGATTAAGCTTTGAACCGCTTTGTTTCATCTTCTAAGCGACGTGTGAAATGAGGAGTGGCATTGAGAAAACAACTAACAAGTCTACGTCGTTATCAGGTAACATCCTTCCTCAACTGATAACGTAAATGATGCTCCGAAAGAACGGGCACAGTGGCTAGTGCTAACGATGCAGTGCTCAGTGCTCTTTCTGGTGACATGATGCAGTTATAGACTGTTTTTCCAATTGTTAAAGCTCTTCGCAAAAAACTCGTAGCACGTTTTTATTTTGTTATAGTAAGGCATGTGAAATAATTAAAGTTATAGTTGAAGTTCTCTCATCATGTGCGTTTCAAAGCTGTTTATTCGTTGTGTTTCTGTTGGTGAGATGTCATTGCCATCTTCTCATCAGAATGAAATATACTTTTTTATCAGAGTTTCCGGCAAAAAATTCGTTACCACGCTGTGATATAGTTTTTGCTTTCAAAGTTTAGTTTTAAGTTAAGTTAAGTAATAGCCAAGTCAAGGTTTGTTGAACTACAGACGTGACTTTAGTGAACACTCCGCATCATTAGTTAACTGGCAGAATTAATACTAATTAAGAGGGCTAAACTGAGCCTGCCACAATGAGCNGCATAATTTCGACAAAGAAATGTCCGAATTTAATATTCGAATTCAATTTTAGTATTCGAATTCGAATGAATAAGCGATTTCTCAAGATCATATAACTACATTGACATAGAAGCCGTCAATTTTTACATGAATACTGCCGTTAAATTGAATAAAACTAATCCTAAATTAGAAATCCAGTAATTTTGTTTCCATCCGGTCGCTTTAAACGAGATGGAGGAGCGAAGGCTCGACGATGTGAACGCGTCTTTAAGATCACGTCTCCCCGGCCATAAATAGAATAGAATATTGCGGCCAAAAACTGTGCCCAGGTCACAAGGGTGCGAGGCACATGACAGGTCAATGGGGTGCGGTTAATTAATACGCGACCATGCAGAGCCACGCATGCGATCGTATAACGCCACTAACGCGATCAGACAACGCCACGAACATTATCATGTTCGTGATCAGTTCCTAAATCATATTTTAACATTATCATGTTCGTGATTAGTTCATACTTCATGTTCGAACAGTATCATGTATCAGCGATCATACAACTCCATGAACGTTATCATGTGACGCCACGAGCGCGATCAGACAACGCCACGAACGTTATCATGTAACGCCACGAGCGCGATCATACAACGCCACGAACGTTATCATGTAACGCCACGAGCGCGATCAGACAACGTCACGAACGTTATCATGTAACGCCACGAGCGCGATCATACAACGTCACGAACGTTATCATGTAACGCCACGAGCGCGATCAGACAACGTCACGAACGTTATCATGTAACGCCACGAGCGCGATCAGACAACGCCACGAAGGTTATCATGCCGTGCCACGAATGCCGTCAATCAACGTTACGCTTCGTTCACTACCATGTATTAACACCACGAACGCAATCATGCAATGTCACGAACTCGATCATACAGCGCCACGAAAGCAATCATTCATCAAAGAAACACGCACCACAATTTCGCGTAAATAGATACGAGAAAGACGACAATTATTAAAAAGAATTAAAGAATAACATTAGGATCAAACGAATAAAATAGTTTAACTGAACGAATTTTGCGCTCAGATAAAAAAAAATCAGTCAACTCAGCAGTCAAATCGAATAAGTAATGAAATTAATAGCTGGAAAAAAGTTAATTCAGAACGTTGTAAGCACGTGGCTTCATGAAATTAAACCAAAGCGAGGGAGCCTGGATTAAATTCCAGCGTGACACCAGCGTCGCCACGAGCCCGAGCAGACAATGCAACGAACATTAGCATGTAACGGCACGAACGCGTTCATGCTGTGACACGAACGTTATCATGTAACACCACGAATGCCGTCATTCAACGTTACGCTTCGTACACTACCATGTATAAAACCACGAACGCAATCATGCAATGTCACGAACTCGATCATACAGCACCACAGAAGCAATCATCGAACGCCACGAAATCGATCTTTACTGTTCTTCATCAAAGAAACACGCGCCACAATTTCGTATAAATAGATCCGAGAAAGACGAGAAAACTATTAAATAGATTCAAAGAATAACATTAGAATCGAGCGCATTAAATAGTTTTGTTGAACAAATTTTACGCTTGGATATAGAAAAAGCAGTAAACTTAGCAGTCAAGCAAATAAAAAATGAAATTAATATCTGGAAAAAAAATTAATTAGGAAAGTTATAAGCAAGTGGCTTCATTAAATTAAAGCAAAGCGAGGGAGCCGGGATTAAATTCCAGCGTGAAACCAGCGCGATGGATTTAAACTGTTGAAGACATATTACAAACATTCGCCTGATGGCGGGAAGTAAATTTAAGCGTAATTTGAGTAGATAATTTTTCATTTATTCGTGCAGAAGTAAATAATTATGAAATGATATGTATTGAAAATTATCAAAGGGTGAAAGAAACTTCTTGATTCTTTCACACTTGTATTATTAAATCTTATTTCAGAAAGCTCAAGTTCTTGCAGCTTTCCAGCGTAAAAAGTTCGACTAAATTAATGTATGAAGTTTAGGTTATTAGCAATCCTCCAAGCTATATTTTAGCTCCACGGAAGAAGTAATTTAGCTTGATTAAAATTAGCAGGCGCATGTCAACAGAGTAGAATTTCAGTATATATTTGAAGGCGTTACCAATATTTCGACCGAATTAACTCGCATCAGAAAATGTGGGGCACTTCATTTAAATTTTTTTATCATCGTTGAAAAACAAATGTTACTTTATATAATTATTAATTAATATTCAATTATTAATTTCTTAATAATAATTTCAATAATATAAGAAGTTGATTCGAGTTAGTGACGCAAGTGTAATCAGTTCCAACATTTCAAACTACCCTAAAATATATAGAGGGTATCAAAAGTAAGATAATATCTCTTGACAAATCTCCTAACTTGAATTTAGGAGATAAGTTAGTATTTTTCCAATTAAAAAAAATCTACGAAAATTGTGCGTATACATGCAAGAAATCCGCTATAAATTACGTCATAGAATTGCAGCTTATAAACTGCAAGGAACATCTTGCGTCGACTGGTTAAGCTAAATCCGCCCTATTCAAAATAATCGATAGCGCACACATCGGCATCACCTCGAGCAGCTGCAATAATAACGTACACAAAAACACGTACAGCGCACAGGTGCACATATTCTCATGTACGCTCATCCTGCAACATACACACACAAACCGAAACTCAGACATCAAGATTAATATAAATAAAAAAAAACGAACAATTCATTTGTGCACACTGTGCTTGTTATTGCACAAAAATTTGTATTGCATTATTGTATTGCAGGAAAAACTGAAAAAATAGAATTTTTTATAGAAAATAACCATCGTATGCCGGACGCTCCTTGTGGCCAACAGCTGTTGCAGCTGAAGATGAAATGTGCAAGCCGAAATTGCGGAGAAAATCAACAATAAGAGTTGGTAGAAATGCAGCCAAAAGATGCGTTTAATTCAGTGATGGCATTAAACGTTATAAATTTTAAAAATTTCAAATTTAGGGAGTAACATCATGTAGCATTAACTTTGGACTTATATTGAAATTTCTGTGCAGAGAACGAATGACTGAATAAATTATATGATCATGATTCATCATTAAAACAAGAAAAAGGAATTTTCACACTGTCTTTTATTAGCGCAAAAAAAATACTTTTTCAAATTTCTATCGAAAAACTTGTTTTCGCGTAATAAAAGTCTTCTTTTATTAGCAAATACAGAGAAAAATACCGCCTCGTCAGTGAAAATTGAATGCAATGAGATACTAAGTACTGTGACTAAACTGCATTACGAATTTACTGAAGTAACTTAATTAAGTAAAAGATTCTACTCGTAAAATTCATGTAATCTAATAAGATATTTTTAATTCCACTCCTTTATAAGTAATGACTCTTATCATACGTATTTCAATCAGAAGAAAGAAGATACAACATTAGACTGTCAATAAGAAAACAGAAAAGGAATTAGTATAGAAGAAGATTCATTCAGAGTTGTTATTCCACAAGTGGGAGCTGGTGAATGCGTTCCAGGGAGCAGACATCTGATCAATAGTACGGTCGCAGCCATCTTGGATTCAGTGACGTCACGATTCGTGGGTTCAGTTGCAAGAGAAGGTGTGTGTAGGAAGGAGCTGTTTTATCCTAACTGCTTCACAATTGTGAGTAAATATGTGTTTTAGGACTCTATGAGGATCTCTATAAGGCTTCCGTAGTGTTTGAATTGTTTACCCCGCTCTAGGAAGTGATAGCAACGAGCGGATGTGATTTTAATGACCGTTTTCGATCGTAAACATAACGGTCTTTGGTCCCTACTGACCTGTTGACTGAAAAATAATGTTCAATATTTGCTACAGTAACAATTTTTTTTGCAGTATTCCAGAGAAATTAGTTCAATAATTAAAAATAGAATTGCAAAATTATTGTAGTAATCCAATCAACCGATGTGGTTTGATGACGCATCTCAACTCAGAGCACAAGTGTGGAGGGGCTTGTGGAGTATCGAACGATTTGCACTCGTGTCCGCAATTGCTATGAATTTATGTTGAGGTGACCTCTCAAGTAAATAAATCATTAATTCAAAGATACTAGTTATTGCACGTTGCTTTGATAACTTTGGTACCTTAAACGTCCTTAATAGTAAAACCAATTCAACGAATTAAAAAAAAATAATACCTCTCTTCACTTAGGCTGATGAAATCTGTTCAGTATTCGTGCGTTTTTGTGCATAATTGCTGTATAACCTTTTTAAGATCACAAACATCGTCAGCTAAAATTCGCTAATAATTGTCATGAGAATCTTAAGTAATATGTATTCATATTTTTTCCTTGCATCCAATCGTAGACAAATAATATTACTTATTTCTCAAACTAGGTGATTTCTCGAAATTCAAATTCTTCGGGACTTTCTTCTTAAGGCCTATTTCAAAATTGATTGTTGATTGTTGAACTTTAGAATGAATGTTAGCATAATCGAGAACTATTCCATCAATTGAAATTATACATTTTTACTATGGTTGTTACTGTGGTGTAACAATCTAATTTTTGTAATGCTTTAATAGACTTATTAAGAAATCATCGCTTTTTTCGCAATACCCAAACTTGAAGTTTAATTATAATTTATATGGATTTGTTGATCATTAGTGTCCATAAATTGTCGATCGTTAGTGTCATCATTAGTGATGGCGAACCAAGCAATTTAACTTAAGAGCCAAAGGCATAATTTTTTTGAGTCTATAAAGCATGAGGTTCAATAAATTTTGGGATGAAGACTAATACTCCAGTATGAAGATAATTCGGCAAATCAATTGCCTTACAAGCAAATCAATTGCCTTCTCAATTGATGAACTTACTAAAACTTAAAAAAAAAATAAACTTAAAAAGTATCCATTTTCGTGCTCCGTTTAATTCGCATCTCAATATCAAAATGCATCTTCATTCTGCGCCGGACCAATTAACAGACAAAATATGCAATTACAAATATTGGAATGCAAAAATTAGAATGGCAATTTCGTACGTGTGATTTACGAATCAAATAATTTAAGAAGAGTTAGTAATGACATGGAATTACTAATCATATAAGAAGAGTTATTAATGGTATGGTATTTTGCAGATGGCTGTAGCACAAGACCAGCGATGGCAAAAAGATGCTGCTGACCAGAATTTTGACTACATGTTCAAATTACTCATCATCGGCAACTCGTCAGTGGGAAAAACATCGTTTCTATTCCGGTACGCCGACGACTCCTTCACATCCGCCTTCGTTTCTACTGTCGGGATAGATTTCAAAGTGAAGACGGTTTTTCGCAACGACAAGCGCGTCAAGCTACAAATATGGGTGAGAAAATTAATTATTTAGGGTGTATGGGCGAAAAAAAAATTATTTAGGGTGTATGATTGAGATAAATAATTATTTAGGGTGTATGGGTGAGAAAACTAATTATTTAGGGTGTATGGGTGAGAAAATTAATTATTTAGGGTGTATGGGTGAGCAAATTAATTATTTAGGGTGTATGGGTGAGATAATTAATTATTTAGGGTGTATGGGTGAGATAATTAATTATTTAGGGTGTATGGGTAAGAAAATTAATTATTTAGGGTGTATGGGTGAGAAAATTAATTATTCTGGGTGCAAAGTGAGAACGCAGATGCGGTAACCAGGCCTGATTAATGGATAAAAATTATAATTTTTGTTCAGAATAATAGACCATTTAGAGAAAAGATGATGAACTACATATTCGTTTCTGTACATTGTTCCATCAATTACTGCAGTAAAATTTATATTCAGAGTAAAACTAAGACATAGGATATAGTGTTCGTTCCTCACACTGCTTGTAAAATTTTTTCAACAATGAAAAAGCATGTTTATAAGATTAAAACTGAAGCAATTAATTGGAAGTAAAAAATTCTGGCGTTCTAATTTTGCCGGACAGAGCTTAATGGAACATACGCCTCCTTATGTACCGGCATTTGATTAAATTAATTATATCTTAGGTGATAAGTTGAATGTTGTGAGCTAAAAAGCAATAAAAAATTAGATCACTTCTCCCTGCAGTGAGTGGCAGTGAGCGCATTTTCTCGTGAGTCCGTGACGTGATGTCATGGACGGATAGTCACGGACAGACGGACATGACGATCACAATAGCGCCTTTTTTCCATGCATGAGAAAACGCGCTAAAAAGAGTGAGACACGGAAGCAAGAAAAATACAATAAATGAAATTTTGAACAATTAAAACAATGAATGAACGAACAGACATGAGATGTTGCAATCAAATATGGAGGTGATAAAATATTTTTTGCTGTATTTTATCAGCCTGTTCGGATGAGGAACATGATAAACCAACGTCAGTCCACTGAATTGATTACAGACAGAAAAGAAAGGAATGAATGGGAACTTAAGATAAGATAAGGAATTAAAGAAAGCAATTCGAACTTACGAACTCTACTGACTTAGAATCGACAACTGCTACAATAAATACATTTATAACGCGATCCTCTTCTATTATCGTATTGTTGGTGGTACGTCACAACATGGCCAGCACAAATGCTGGTCAATTTAATGGAAATTTAAGTCCAATGAATAAATGATGATTATGAACATTTGATATACAACGACTAATGGAAGCAAAATTCGTGTGTTAAATTCCAAATAAACTCTATTGCTGTAAAGCTCTTTACTGATCACTGAGGCGCGATAAAGGCGTTTATATTATAATGTGAACGATATTCAAGTATCCATTCACTAATGTTACGATATACATCGAGTAATTATAAAGAACTCTTACAGTCAATAATTAAAAATAATGTTGTTAATTTTGCACTCCTAATTATATGGGGTACAACCAATGCACTAGGTTATGAAGAGTGTTGCAATTAACGTTCATCAAGCTACCAAAAATGTTTGTAATTACGACAATTGTGTTACTAGATTTTGTGAGGTTTGATAGAAGATAGCATTGAAAAATGTAAATTTCCATCTGGCCCTTAAATCAATTAAATTGAACTTTTATATAATATAAACAGGCATCAAATTACTTTTCACCCAAATAACTTTAGAACGTTAATAATTTATAATTCAAATATTATTGTAATGTAATATTAAAAATTTATCTGCAAACATTAAAAGTAAATAGATTTTTTAAATAAACCAATTATAAAAATGGCAAAATATGGTCATAGAGTATCACTTATTCTTAATTGTTAATAGTTTGTTCTTTCAAAAGAATATTAAATTCGTTGCATGGATTAATAAAAGAAATATGATGCGCACCAGAAAGATTATATTTCAATATAGTTAGCTAATATATTTATTAAGAAAAAATGCTAAGAAATAAGTTAGAAGAAAATGTTTATGAGGTATATTCATAGAAAAGCAGTGCATAAAATCAAGATTTAAATAAAGAAAACTTCAATAAAACTTAGTCTTACAGTACAAATTATTCGGTATTTTTACGATTTTTACCTGTTTTAGAAAAGTAATAAGTGCAATATATGTTTTTATGTACGGCATCTTGTATACCCAAGAAATATAATATAAATAAATTTTATAGATGACATATAAATAAATAATAGATGACAAACGGGACAATATTTATCCGAACCAAAGTTCCGATTTGTGAAGTACATTCATCATTTAGCGGTGCATCTTATCTTGATTTAAAGATTTAACAAGTTTTGATCGTTATCTCGCTCGACACTGATAACATTGCTGATAAGATTACCGCATCTGAAGCATATGAATCTTTTACCTGTTTCTTCAGTGTCATTTCTCAATAGTTATCGTTGAAAGTCAGTCACTTAATTTTTTAAACGTACTTTAGATCTTATTAATAATTTTTGGATTTTTTTAATTGCAACAGTTAAATTACAGCGATAGTGTGCTGTTTACATTTTATCTGATAGAATTATATTTTCAGTTCTATTTAATTAATTTATTCTAATTCTCTCTAAGTTCTTAATTAACGCTTTGGTTCTCGTTGGCAAATTTTGCATAATTGTTCTTGCACTTAACTTAATCGGACAAAAAAACGTATTTATAGTAATAATTAAAATTTGATGTGTGAATCACAAATCTGTAATCATAAATTAATTATGCTTGAATTTGCAGCGAACATTTTCATCTTGAGCTCTAACTTGTATCTATTTTTCTACAAATCAAAGTTCGCAATAAAAATCCATTACATTTTCAATTGAAGGGCATCAGACTCTTTTTATTAACTCTTAAATTTTTTAACAGAAATTGAATTTAGCGATGGAGGATTTAGACACCAATCCAATGAACGAAAAATTACTCAAAGTATTAGTGATTGGAAATTCAACGGTTGGCAAAACAGCACTGATAGGGAAATACATTGATGACCGCTTCCCGACAAAATTTGAATCGACGATTGGAATGGATTTCCAAATAAAACAAGTTCCCAGGGATGACTGTGTCTATAAACTGCAGGTTTGGGTAAGTAAAAAAAATTTAACTCAGTACTCACAACAGTGAGTGCCAGAGAGCGCATTTTCTCGTCGACGAAAACTTGAGGTCACGGACGGACGGACAAACAGACGGACGGACGGACAGACAGACAGACATGGCGAGCACAATAGTGCATTTTTTCCATAAATGAGAAAATGCGCTACAAATCAGTGTCGTCGTACACCCTGATCGGAATTTGGCTAAAATCAGAGTGAAAAAAAAATGCCGGCGACTTGGAATGGAAGTTTAAACGAGGTAACCCTACATGAAAACAAATCGACTATTCAATAGATAATTTATTTTAAAGATAATTAAATTACTATTTCTGACCTTAATCACATAAAATGGGCAGTAACATTTTTTTCCTCGCAACGAAAAATCAGAAGAATCATTCATTGCCTCTAAATTACGTTATAGCAAGCAGCGAGTACATTTCCAGGAATAATATTGTGAACTATTAACAATGAAACAATGAATTATTACGACATGCTTTACAAGAAGAAGCTCATCAATATTTTCAACAAGCAATAGAAAGAATAATTAAAAGATAATTTTACTTTGCCCAATCACATTGAATGCCATGGTTTTGCCAGTCTTATAATGATATGAAAATTAAAAATAATCAATCCTACTCTAATTAAATCAAAGTTTTGAATTTCCTGAAGAATTGTATGCAGGAGTAAAAACTAAGACAGAAAAAAAATCGGGTTGAAAAACGACATCTTATTCTAATTTACATGAAAGACACTCATATATATTATCTTGTGAAATGTCGCTTATCAATTTAAGAACGGATGGCAAAGATCATCATTAACATCAGCCTGCATATATAAATTATATTTGCAAATAAAATCATATTATAACAAATTATTGTGCAAATAACTAAACTTCCTTTGTTTTTCAGGACACCGCGGGGCAGGAGCGCTACCGCACCATCACGACGGCGTACTACAGGGGAGCTATGGGCTTCATCCTTATGTATGACGTCATAACAAAATTTTCGTCGGACTGAGCCTCAAGTGAGGTAATGTAATTATATTTTTTTCAATATTGGTCTGTGAATGATAAGGGTCTATTTTTCATTGACTCGTTCATTTCACGACTGACAAACAATATTTATTTGTAAAGCGGATTTCCTCATGATTGCTGTTCTACAGGCACGTAAATAGCTCGTGATTTGTATATCCCAAGTGTGGAATTCGAAGAAATAACACAACTTTAAGGTTTTATCTAAAGTACTGTAGTACTAGTACTAATTTAGTACTGTTTTATGTTACTGTACTGTTTTTATTTTTATACTGTGTGTTTTTTTTGTACTGTTTTATCTAAAGTACTGCTATATAGCCAGTTGCAATATATTAGGGTTATCGCAGGCTCATGGTTAGGGTTAGCTCTGCTTGATCGAGTTGTTTAAATTAATTTGGATCATAGCAATTAAGGTCACTAAAAAACAAATGATTGTTTTTTGCAGGATATCAATACATGATATCTTTAATCCGTTTTCTCAGATAAAAAAAACGATAAAAACTCAGCAAAAAAAAAATGAGGAGAAATTTGTACACTTTCTTTTGTAACAGAACTGTTATTACCTTGTGTGATCAAATGTAATTAGAAGGAGTAGAAGTGTCGGCACTGAAGAAATAGACCCATGGCCTGTTGCCGATTTTTGATTTTTTCGTGACTTGATTCACAAGGGATCCGGCCTTTGTAACCCGATCTTTCCATACCTGACGATTGATTGAGATAGCTGCTGGACTTATTGCCTGGTCCGTAAATTGCTAGGCATTTTAAGACTGAACATATGCTCCTGCATAGCTTTGTCTAGTCTGTTATTGAAGGCGTTCATACTCGGAGAATTCGCAGGTAACAGAGCTGTTATCACACGCAAGGCAACAGCCTTGTGTGATCAACTGTCATTCGCAGTTAACAGAGCAATTATTGCATTTCGTGATCAAATGTAATTCGCAGGTGTACGCAAATCAAGACGTACTCGTGGGACAACGCGCAGGTTATTCTCGTGGGCAACAAGTGCGATATGGAAGACGAACGCGTCATCTCATACGAGCGCGGCAAGCAGCTCGCTGATCAACTTGGACTCGAATTTTACGAAACTTCTGCTAAAGAAAATATCAATGTCAAGGTAAGTGTTTTTTATATAGTGAGTGAGTATTTTTTTCATGATCTGATGAAAAAAGTTCGGTAAATTAAAATTTATGATCGAAAATTAGAGGAATAATATTTATCTGCTCAGTGGAGATTACCGTGAGTTAAGAGAAAATATCGCCGTAGCGGTGAACAGCTAAAAACTTTTGCGAGTCCGCGCGACCGTGTCGTGGTTATTCATCAATACCAAGTGTGAAGGTCAAGGGAGGTTCATATTTATATCAGAGCAGATCAATGTTATCTTCCATCTTGATCAAACTGATCATGGAAGAAACAAATCATTAACGTCACTGTACAATTATTTCAGTAAGAAGTTTAAACAAATTCAATTAAGATAAATTACGAGGGAATGCTATTGTGACTATAGTGTCTTAGTTTCGTCAAGCATGGATTTTTTCGTATAAATGATAGAAAAAAATGAATTATTTAGTTGCATAGCACGCTGATAAATCCAGAAATTTATGTTAAAGAAGCGAGAAAGAATGTCAAAATAACGGTTAGGATAAAAAAATGTCAAATAACGGATATAACGGTTAGGATATTATAATAAAAAAATGTCAAAATTACGGTTAGGATAAAAAATGTCATAATAACGGATATAACGGTTGTGATAAAAAATGTCATAATAACCGATAACGGTTAGGATGAAAAATTAAAAAATAAAAATAACTTTTAGGATAATTTCCGTTTTTAACTGACTTGGGTGCCGCAGATTGTGTTCGAGCGACTCGTGGACATCATATGCGACAAGATGTCGGAGAGTCTGGACACAGACCCCAACCTACTGAACGCCAACAAGGGAACTCGCCTCACTGAGACACAGCAGCCACAGGGCGGCAGCTGCCAGTGCTAACGAATACAGACGCCTTTTAAAGAAGCTTCTATTTAACATCAATCTATTTAAACAGCATAAACTGTCAAAGTTTGACCGACGTTGATATGACTGTGCGTATCTTCAAGTGTCTTCTGATTACAAATGCTGTTTTTTAGTGAAATGCTGTAGCTGTTAGCAGTTTGTCTGTGGATCAATCACGCGTGTCATTTAGAAAGGGAAACAAATGGCAGAATTTACACTGCCTTCACTGTAACTGACACGAAAAAAATGGCAGGATTTACACTGCCTTTATTGTAACTGACACGACTGTTTTCTACCTACAGTAAAGAGGGACATTAACTTCCATCCATATCTTATCCAACTCAAATGGTTACTCAGGTCATACAAAATTGAAAATCGAAGTATCCATTTCGTGTAACCTGAATTCAATATATTAAAGTTCAACAGGCTAATGCTCGCATGTTGTAGAACCTCCCGATAGTGGATAATTTAAATATATGGGGCTAAATGCTCCAATATAAGATTCCTATTACTTGATGTTGATAGTGTGTTCATATGCTGTAAGTCAAAGACACGTTGTAGTGATACGAATCACTTATATGGCCAGAAAAATTCACTAACTTATTACTTGCATGAATAAAATATTCTCTAAACTTTATCTCGTGTTCACTATAAATCCACCTCGGGAAGAAAAGTTGCTCGTATTAGTTATCCACTCTAAAAATTTGTTAAACTTTTCACTTAAACAGGGTTTAACATCATAAATTAAACCGGGTTTACATCATAAATTAATTTTACCTTCGAAAGTTAAAAACTCGGAATTAATCCTCGTCTTTAGTGATTAAACTGACTTAATAACTAGGTCCAATGAAGCTGTCCTGACTGTCTTAAATATTTATACTTACTCTGCCGCATATTCCGCTCTTCAGCTATATCAATTTGTTCATTTAATGTTACATTTTTAGTTCCTATGTTCATTTTTAGCTATGGCCCGAACCATGATCCGGGCACATTCATTGGTGAAATATTTTTGACACAGAATAGATTTTTTTGGCATTTGAGAATAGTCTGGACGTATATATCTTTGCCCAAAAGCAAAATAAAAATAGCCCAGAAAACAATTAATTGTGTTATCGTAAAATTAACAATTTCTGAATAAAACATGAAATTGGGGAATGTAATCAGAAATATTTCGATATAAATGAAATAATTCTCTAAAAATTGTGATTACCAGAAATGACTGCACTAGCCATTCGAATAACCCAAACTAACCGAAAATAATGCGTTAGTTTATTTTAGAGACTGATTACGACATTGAAGCATAGATTTATTTCTTCTGAATTGCAACTTAGAATTTGTTAAAAACTCATGCTTTAATGTTTATTTTACTAAGAAAATTTATCAGATGCTCGCTTCTGGCAGATTCCTCTGAAATTTATCTTCTTACATATCATATATTTTATGTGCAGTGCATTAGAATATTCGATCGAAGCCTGGTGAAAATATTCGTTGTCGAATAAATAAGTCGAAAGTAAGTAGTCATACATACATATTTAATATATGTTATTGGGTTTGCTGAATGAATGAAGTGGGAGTCGTAAGTTCTATTTTCCACCTCCAATGAATGCAAGATTGGAAGGCGTATTATTTGTTCTCTATAATTTCGGGTAAATAAATCAGAAAAATGTATTCTAAATTTCTCACAAAACTTTCAATAATAAAATTACACTTTTTAGACGAAAAATTATTGCTGTGCCAAATTATCCAGCCTGAAAATTCACTCTCTTCTCACTTAATCAAAGTTACTAAATTTGTTGATACATTACTTGTGCCTCGCATTCTAGGTGTGTCGTGAAATTTTTTGGATCAATGTCGTGCGGATCAATTATTTTTCCTAAATTAACCATTTTGCTCGTGTCGTTCAAGGTTTACGTTTCCGAAAGATGATTTCTTAAAATATACAATTGAATTATGATTTTTTCAACGGCAAGAGACCTATATGAATGAGATGCCCGCCTACCATTTAATAGGTTAGTGACTAAAACATGTAATGAGGTATGTACATTTATGTAATTAAACAGTTTTGACACATTGCACTATGTGAGAATGAACGTATAGGAGCTTCTATTGATTGCGTAGGAAATATATTTTTGAGGCTTGCCGTACAGGCTCCTAGTAATGTTTCCTTGCAGATCCAACATGCATTGAAAGTATAACCGCAGTACTATAATAGTTTTCAATGAATAACACCTAATGCATTTCACAATTAAATTATTTCAGTCACTGTGCGTCCCATCACGTTTTACTACTCAAAAACACAATTTAACTTTTGATTGTTTATTTTTTTTTTATTTTTTACTCAGTTCTACTTGGATCACAGTTGCCACGTCAGTTGCGGTGCCAAGTGATCAATCAATGAATTTGAATTCAGTAAAGCATCCTCTTGCCTGCTAGTGAAATAAAGCTCACATTCAATCTTTTCATTTAGGAGTTGGTTATCTGGAGTTGTTTATCTTAAAACTATTAAAAAATATATCAGCTAATACGCACGCCCATAATTTTTTCCAAACTTGCAAATCTTAAGTATGTGAATGTATAAAAGTAAAAACTTGATTCTTTAACAAAAGAACATTCAACTTAGCGAAAAAGGGTTTGGTTTTCTCTCTTTTTAATCAAAAACGAATGTAATTGTCGCATGATAAAAGTATTAGAGAAGATATGATGCAATCTTCCATAAACTTTTCAAATCTTATGCTTCTCTTCTCTCAGAATTTCAATATTACTTGAATACTACGTACGTTCTATAAGACGCCTTACGGTGAATACGAAGCTAATTGATAATAAAAATAATATCATGGATGCTACGTTCATCGTAGCCATCTAATTACATGGGTGATAGATTTTTTATCCTGTATCGAATGTGACGAATGCAACCATTCTAATGTATTTAAATAGTATTTTCTTTTCTGCAGTAGAATATTTAAAAGAGAGAGTGTGTTCAAATTCACACCATCGATTTATGAAAATTTCGTGCACGTTTGTGCCGCAGATTGTAATGAAAGGAGAACTGACTTATTATTTTAGAGCAGCCGAAGCCACGACTACACGATATCTTTGAAGCACAAAACAAAGCTTTGATTGCTGTGGGGACACTTTGATGTTGTAATTAATAAATAAATAAAAAACAAGCATAATAAACAGTTCATTACTAATGTCTTGCGAAATTTATTTGATTGAAAGAACTCGTCTACATCGAAGAATTAGGTGAAAATTAAGCCTCAAATGGTTAGCATGACGTCATAATTAGGGACATAATCAATACTTACCCTCGTATTAAGCTTAATCGTAATTCAATTAACCAAATTTGACGTTTGAATATAGCAATGTAAGTGAAAATTTGTTGATTAGTAATGCCAATACGTTTCTCCTGAGTAATTCATACAAATCTATTTTGCATTAATCTTTGATATATTAGTGTATGTTTGAATTTTGCTGGATTGTTGACGCTGAATTCCAGGTTTTTAACCGTGTTTTTAACGAGTATTCAACAGATTGGAGGAATGTTAAAAATTAGGTTTAGCCTACCAAATTAGATAATTGGCGTGGTATAATGTATTCATAAGATTAAAATATTAGTGTATAGACATTTGAATTGTAACGAAAAGCATAATTTCTGCTACGTAGTTGCGTAATGAACGGTGAGCGAAACGTCGACTATGAATAATAAAGATGAAAATAAGACACTAGATATAGTCATTGAAATTTTTAAAGGAGGTTAATCATACTTCAACTGAAAAATTTGCAATTTTTATGATTTTATCGATTCAATAAGAAATTAATATTGATTCAAGATAAAAAAATGATAGATTAATATTGTGAATAAAACCCAAACTTTTTGAATTAAAAACTCTAGTTGTAGCTGTCCATCATACTTCCATAGGGGGTAATTTCGCTTGCCGTTCATTAAGTAACTTCTTCTGCAAGTTAGGAATGAATGCTAGATGTTTTATTAGCTTTGAACTGGTACTACCGCATCGTGTTGAATTTGTTGTGTCGTATCGATGGTTGATGATGAAAGAAACAAACTTTATAATGATATTGAGAGTTTATTATTTTCCCATACATCTCTATTGTATTAACTGCATTCAAAAATGTATTATTTCCCTGCGAAAGAACTTTTGTTTTAAAATATAAACTATCTGTTAATAAAAACACATAAACTGCTATTTCGAAAAAGCTTCTCATGAGTTTACAAATCACAGCAGTCAGTGAATGCGTGAAAGATTCTAAAAATCCATGGATTTTCAAAATTTTGAAATGTGATGAAAAATTTAATCACTTCAAAATAAAATTGTCTGAGCCAAATGTTGCTGGCGAATCACACGCAGCAATGAAACAATTAACAATGGTAGTAAGAAAACATTCAATTCAATATTTTCAGGTGAGATTATTTTCTATAAAGCTTTGTTTGACCTAACAGCTCCTAGCTAACGTTCTTAATCAGTTCTCTAGCAGTGTTCTCACAGATGAGGACTTGAACAGTATTCCAGATATTGAGGAGCGCCCAGTCGGCTCGAAGTTGACAGGTTTTGAAATACACGAAGAAGAGGTTCTCAAGCGCTTGGTAGCTCTAAATCCCAACAAGTCATGTGGACCAGACGGCTTCCATCCTGGTAAATTTTCCTATGTACAATATTTAAGATAGAAAATTCGTCAACTAAATGAGTAAAATTTCTTACAGATTGCTCAAAGAATTAGCAACCGTCCTAGTGGCCCTCTGACAGCATTATTTCGAAAGATCTTGAACGGAGGAACTTTTAAGTGCAATTTTTTCTAAATGATTTTTTTAATTAAATGCAATTCAATGAAACAAAATAGAAGGAAATGCAATTCAGTGAGATTAAATGACATGCAATTCAATGAAATGAAATTGAATTAAATGACATTGAATGAAATGACATTGAATGAAATGAAATTGAATGAAATGGAATTGAATGAAATGGAATTAAATGAAATGAAAATGAATGAAATGAAAAACGGAGACTAAGTACCTTTACTCTTTTCTTTAGTCTTTTGCCTTATAATTAACATATTCATATTTATTTCCGTATGTTTATCTAAACCGCATGCAGACACTGAAAAAATTGCTTGGAATACTTAGTCAATTTTTTTATATATACATCCACTCCTTGAATTATGTCGGACTCCTATCTTAAAAAAATTTTGGAAGTTCAGAAACTTATAATCCAGTATCATGTATCTAGTCCAACAAAAAATTCATCTACTCGTATTGAAAAAATACATCAAAGATCTCATAATTTTCAAGTCCAAGATTTTATCTTGGAATTTAGAGCAATGCCTGCAATGTACCAGTCATTTAGTGAGGTTGAGCATGAATATAAGAACAAATTCATTTAACATTCAAGCGATTCACTGGACGCCACGCTACGGCGGTGACGGCTCTATATATTTTATTTCGATTTGAAATTAAAATATAATAGATATAATTAATGTATTATACATAATTGAATAATTTTATATTTAATTAAAAAATTCTAAAAATTTGTTGGAACGGTCAAATGCATTAAATTTACGGAATTTTCTCATTGTATTCATAAAATCATTTTCGACCGCTTCAGGTCATGAAAAACTCAAAATGAATCTCTTTTACTAAGAAAACGCAGCTGGGATTTCGGACTTGTCTTTCCCACGATTCAAAAACACCTCCTGGGCTGCAAATTTCTGCTTTCTGTAAATATTTTCAGGCAGCGCTTTATATAAGTAATTTTCACCAAATCTGTCTGTCACATACATACTTCATGCAACGCAGGCTCTCATCCACCACGTTTGAGTAGAAGAATAAAAAATGTCAACTTATATAACGCCAAGATAAAAAATTTCTGATACTGCAGCACGCAGATCTCACCCACGGACAGACGCTGGCTGGTGAATATGTCGCCTATATGAACCCGATAGCACAACGGAACACTTCCACTTCATCTTCAGTCCAGTAATTATTGGAAACCAGTGGAAAGCAGTGGCACTTGGACCGGTGCGACACATAGCGCGTATTGCCGTTCAGGGAGACTGGAATATTCCCTTCAACTGCATGGGGAATATCTGGAGGACGAATCTAGTGTGAATCTAACTTCATATTTAATGCATTCGAGTTGTTTTCAAGGCATTTAGAGTTTATGAGCTTATAGTGTCTCAGTCTTACAAGTTTAAATAAGAAATATATAAATAAACAAGAAGCTACCTTAAACTGAAAGGACATTTCTGGGTTCTCATTATATTTCCACAAATTCAATTCCTAACTCTTATAGTTAGCAAGAAATTTTTGAGAAATTAAATAAGCAATAATTTTTTTCGATCATTGATGCTTTTCCTTGGAATGCATCGTTAATAAATAAATTATTAAATAGCGTATTTTATTCAGGAATTTGTGTGATTGATGAATTAAATGGTTACTACCTTCAGATTCACTTCACATGCTTTAGGTTTTTCCAGGACAAGTAAATCTCTCTATAATTTTGGGTATTTATATCAATCGATTTTCAATCATTGAACTACATAGCAAAATATGCTTTCAAAATATTAAATATTCCAAGCGGAAACCACGTCGGACTTTGACAAAAGTTTTTTCAAAACAACAAATGCCAAAACTCTTGTGGGTTATAAGTTCAACTTTTAGCTATAAAATTATTGTTATTTTTGCTATTACATGGCACATTTAATACAAAACCCAAAATAGCCTGCCTACGAAAATTCTAATGATAAATTTTATTTTAAAAATCATCAACAGAAAATCTTTTCTGAGAAATCCTTTGAATATGGAGAATACAATTCAGATCTCTGACTTTGGACAAACGACGCACATGCACTAAGTATTCTGCTTGGTAGAGTGGCATGATAGGCACGGTTTTCAAAGCAAAGACTCAATTGCAGTCAGGAAATCTTAATCACATAATGAGATAACACAGCTGGATGAATTACAGTATCTTAGCAGCTCTCTTCTAATCGTTCAATAACAAAATTTTGATTTGTTTGTACTATTACATGTACAAGTAAGATAGATAAAATGCAGGATGAGATCAGGGTGAATTAAAGAGTTCATCAACGATAAAACACATATTGTGACTTATTCAGTATTGTCTGTTTCACAGCGGAAAAATACCGATCACAACTTTACAAAAGTGAAAAAAAATTTCAGCTTCAGCAGGTTTTTTGCAGCTTATTCCATGATTTTTTTTGAGCTTCAAATTTTATCTTTAGATCGCGAGTACATTCGTTAACATACAAAATTAAAAAAGTGTATTTTGCATCCAAGATGAAATGTATTTAGATTAGCGCAAATTTCTTTACCTATTAAAAGAATTAATGTTTGAATTGATCATGCAGAACAAGATAACGTACAGAATAAAAGTGACGTCAAACTGAACTGAATGTTGTTAATTTAGCTGAACACAAACACTGTCGTCACACACTGATCGGTGGCAATAATAAATAAGAGTGTATGCGAGTTCGAAGACGAATAATATCAAGAAATGAAAAAAATGTAGTGGAATTTACGGCAGCAATGCGATGCGTCTCCAAATCTGAATCAATATAAGATCCTAGCGAAACTTTGAGTGGAGTATTTAATAGATAAACTCTTCATATAAAAATAAGTTGATTGAGTGACAAACGCTGCATATGGTGTAGTCTCAAGATCGGATTGTAATAAAATTGGTGTGTATAGTCCGTTCTGTGGAATGATGTATGTTTTTTTCTGACTTTGTCTGTGTTTTAGAGTAGTTTGAACTTTCAGTGCATATATGTGGTATGCACATTAATAATTATTCATGCGTACTATAGTTTTGTGTTTAATTTAGTAATCGGACCAATATGGTGTCGTCTATTAATTATTGAGTTCTGTTGTTTATTAAAGGATGCTTTGATCCTGATTTCGGAGCGGTAGTGAGACCCGACTGCTGTTAAATAAATC